TCACAGCCTGCCCACTGCCCCCTGCACACAGGGAGCTGTCACAGCCTCCCGCCTCACCACAGATGGGCTGGCTCAAGAGCCCACTACTGCACTCATTTCCTCTCCAGCAAGCTATTCTGATGATTTAAAACAAGGGATTGTGAATATACCCCGTGGTATTCACACAGAGAGATGTTGAGAAGGTATCAAATGAAGATTTTTTACTTTATGCTTATAAAGCTGGTTTAAAAAAAGCTGAATTCATCTGTACTGAGACACAGCAGAGAGGTAATAACCCTGTGAACATTTCCAGTCACAAAGTCATATGCAGCTGGTCACACAACTATCACGACAAACTTACTGTTCTCCAAATAAAAAATATCATTATCAAAAGTGTATAAAGTACCTACAAGGGAATGCCACCTCAAAATGGTGAAAAATCACCTTTCAGCAAGGTCCCTTCCAACCCAAGGTTCAATCATTTAAGCTGTAACTCCCACCAAGTTAAAATTCCACACTCAGCTCAGCTCCATACCCTGAAATGAAGCACTGTGGAAGTTCCCAAACAAGGAATTCTCCAAATGATACACATTTTCCAAATTATACAAATAAACTAATTTCTGTTTCACAGAACAGCTCATGGTATTCCCTAAGGATATTATCTGGCATTTTAAGTCTCCCCTTTTCAGGTGCTAAATTTCATTAAAAGACAGCTAAGTATTTTGAGATTCTTTAAAGCTATCACTTTGATGTGATTTACATAATGAAATAGTTCAACAGCCCTATATGTCCCAAAGGAAATACCATTATGTTCACTTTCTAAAGTATTTACTGAACACTTTACAAATTAAAAATATAAGTAAATAAAAAGGGTTTTGACCTGCTTGATTTTTTTTTTGAGGTCTATCTATTCTACACAACAGATTATATTAATATAAAAAACATATTCAAGGCTAATTTAAAACAACTTAAAAAAATGCCCCCAAAATACAACTGCATAAGAATGATTAATTTTTGCTGACAAAAATACAATAGTAGATACTTTGTGGGGTCAGGCTGCCATACCCAGCACAACACAGCCTCAGAACAGCAGGGACAACAGACCTCATCTGTACCAAGTGTGGCCCAGGGGACCAAGTTTGTAGATGACACCAAGGTGGGGGAGGATGTGCTGGAGGGCAGGAAGGCTCTGCAGAGGGATCTGGACAGGCTGGATCCATGGGCTGAGGACAGTGGGATGAGGGTCAACCAGACCAAGTGCCAGGTCCTGCACTTGGGTCACAACAACCCCATGGAAAGCCACAGGCTGGGGCAGAGTGGCTGGAAAGGAGCTGGGGGTGCTGGTCAACAGTGGCTGAACATGAGCCCAGATAGCCAAGAAGGCCAAGGGCACCTGGGCTGTCCCAGCCATGGTGTGTCACAGCCCCAAGGCAGTGCCTGTCCCTGTGCTGGCACTTCTGGGACCCTCAGGACAAGAGAGACATTGAGGGGCTGAAGCATGTCCAGGGAAGGGAACGGAGCTGGGGAAGGGGCTGGAGCAGCAGGAGCAGCTGAGGGAGCTGGGGGGGCTCAGCCTGGAGAAAAGGAGGCTCAGGGGGGACCTGGCTCTGCAACTCCCTGACAGGAGGGGGGAGCTGGGGGGGGTCAGGCTCTGCTCCCAGGGAACAAGGGACAGGACAAGGGGAAATGGCCTCAAGCTGTGCCAGGGGAGATTTAGGTTGGATGTTGGAAAAAATTCCTTGCCTGAAAGGGCTGTCCAGCCCTGGCACAGCTGCCCAGGGCACAGGTGGAATCCCCATCCCTGGAGGGATTTCAAAGCCATGAGGATGTGGCACTTGGGGACATCATTACTGGTGGCCTTGGCAGTGCTGGGCTAATGCCTGGACTTGATCTTCAAGGTCTTTCCCAACCTAAACAATTCTATGACTGCCTTAATTTATCTAAATGATTACTTAAAACAAAATCCCAGATTAATAACGTAGCTTCCAACTGTGATTGTTCAGGCACACCACGATTATAAATATTAAATAATTTGCTGAAAACCAGGTCTCAAAGTGGCTTTGACACATTGCAAACACCATGGGTAGGTCTGGGAACACCTGACAAGGCCAGGAATGTGTCAGACACACCTGGGGCCATCAAATAACTGGAAGTTTAGGATGATCTGGTTGAAGTGCAGTGATCACCAGCATCAATGACACTTTCTCTGTCTCAGAAGGAATTCCAAAGAGGGCTGTACTTACAATTACAAGGGTGCAGTGGAAATAGCGCAGTTACAGAATAACAAGTCAGCAAGTACTCTGTCAGAAAGGAGGAATTTGTTCAGTGAAACAACTGACTGCGAATATGGTGCTCCTTTAGTTACAAAAATACACAGGATTTTCTTGTTGTAGGTCTAAATTGCTTTTGAGGTTCATTTTTTTTAGTTCTTCTTCAAAAAACCCACCTTCTACTAGTGATGGTATTACAGTAATGACAGAGTGCTTTAAAAATCATTGCTGTTCATCCCATACTGAATAAGTATCAAAAAATATTTTGTATAAGGGACATAAATGCTATGAAAGATTGAAATCATAATCGTGAATCAGTTGTGTCCTCTGTCATGAAATTTTTAATAAATGCAGCTTGTTGTGAACAGACTGACACTTTGACACACTTGGCATTGACTTTTTTCAACATATTGCTTCTGACTAAAATCTGTTTTGACCTACTCACATTTCAACAACTGATTTGGAGAAGTCAAAAATGATAAAATTAATTATCATACATTTTATCAAATTTGTGTAACAGTAACAACTGGAACCTTGGGTATAATTTAACCACTGAGGAAACATAACACACTCAAGGTCCTTTCAGCAGCTTGCACTCAACAGGTAATAGAGGACCATACAACTTCCTGGAGTTAATGCTGTGTGGGAACTGCAATGGGAAGCCACTTCCCAGTGTTAATGAGCCAATCAATTAATGCACATGACCCCCTAATGCCAGGTTCAGCCCAAAACAGCACAACAGACAATGAAATGCCGATTATAATTTTTAATACACTAAACAAACTGTATTTTGTGGACACACCGAGAAAACTTTTGAGAGTCAGAGATCTTAAAACCCTATTTCTTTGTGGATTCTCCTGATTAAACCCAACATGCTATTTTTACAGGAACCTGCATAACATTGTAATATACCTGTGGATTTCTTTGAAGAAGTGGCATACTCAAAATAAGCAGAATGTTTAGCTTTCTGAGGTGTTTTCCGTAATTTCCTGGAATATGTAGTTTCAGAGACACAAACATACACACACACTCACTCAACAGCATGAATGTCCTTCTCTTTCTTGCTGTATCACCAATAAGGGCTTTTGCACCAAAATACCCTAAGAATGAACAGGGCACCAGCCTAAGTGAGCATTCCAGGATGGAGTGAGGTAAGAGTCCAGACACAAAAACTTCTCCCCACCAGACACTTCTACTCCAGCTACTGCCTGTTTGTATGTACCTCTGTTGAACTTACAAGAGATCATTAAGTAGTCTTCAGATGTGCTCTTGCCATCATCATCATCCTCTGTTTTGATGGTCACTGTGGAGCCAGGCACAGTCCCAGCTGCCTGGATGACCGCTTCCGAGTCCGAGTTTGTCACCAGGACCTCCTCTGACACCATGGTCGGGGAGGCGGCTCCGGACACCGAGTCCTGCACCACGTGCTCCAAGTGTCCCTCGGGACCCGTGACGAGGTCGGCCACGAACACCTGGTCGGGCACTCTGACGGTTTCCGTGATTAGGTCAGAGGTCAACACGTGGTCAGTGGTGTCCAAAGCCTCTTCGATGGCCACGTCAGCCTCCAGCACGGAGTCGGGCACAATGACCCCCTCCGTGACAACGTCGGTCTCCGCGATGATGTCGGGCCCCTGGACAACCTCGGCTGCCAGGCCGTGATCCAGAGTGATCCCGTCGTCCGTGACGACATCGGACACCAGGACAGCTTCGGGCACGGACACCACAATGTGGTCTCCATCGATGTGGGCAGTGCCAGCCATTCCAGCCACTGCGGAACAAGGACGAGCCAGGAGAAAAACGTTACAATCCTTGCACTAGGAACTGGTTCATGTAAGGAATGGAATTATAGAGACAAGTTACACACAGATATAAGAATCTGTTACTTCTCAACATCCACATTATCCCAAGCAGCATGTATCCTTTAAATTAAGAAAAACAAAACATACCACTTCAAGATATAATGTGGAGTTTTCCCTAAATTTAGGTCTTTTAATACTGATCTGTTAAAAACTACAGGCCAGTTTATAATTTAGACTTTTTTTTTTTTATTCCAGTTAGAAAACATTTCATTACAGGAGCAATTTGAACATTCACAGAATGCCTGCATGAGGCTGGAAGTGTGGTGACAAACCATTAATTGCTGCTACAATAAAAGGACTCTTCATCCTTTAGATTGCATGGGCCTTGAGAAAAATAAATGCTCAGTTGTATCCAATATTTATAGTACAGTTTCCCACAAGTTGCCACATCACAAGGAATGGCCAGAGGTAGAAACCTGGTTTTCATTAACAGACTTGACTGGCTGACTACTATTCTAGACATAACAAAGAATGCACAGTGAATTATTTCAACACACACACAAATAGCAATTTTAATCTTAATTAATAAAACACTCAAGAAAATGATTCTTATCAGAATGAAAAAAAAACCCTGGCATTATTCAGTATTGTACTGCAAATGCAATTATCTTGGTACACTCCGAGGGGTATTAATTCATGTTAGAACAAAGACATGGTCCTTCCTGAGAAGGTCATCTCCTGGATTTTACTAATTATTTTTAATAGTTAAAAATACTTTACCAAAATCCTGCATAATCATAGTGTGAGGCATTTTGGATTCTTGTGTTTGCAATCCCAAACTTCCGCCACCTGGATCCATATTCAGCTAAGTGCATTCACAAATAACTGCAACAAAACAAAAAGGAGAATTTATGGTCAGCAACGTTATTGTGTTATTGGTTTTACTGGATTAATGTGTCACACTGACACACACAGAGAACTATTTACCCAAAAATGCAAGAAAAACATAAGCAATACTTTGTACAATCCAGTTTTCTTTATTACTTTGCTTTCTATCTTAGCATAATAATATATATTAGCTACTGTGCACAAAGAAGTCACCTTTGCTCTGCCTGTCTGTCTGTCTCGAGGATGCTGAATCTCTCTGTTGAGGCACAGCTACACAAAGTCACTTCTAGAGCAGGAGAAAGCACGTTACCTTTCTTTGACAGAGTGTTTCCACAAGATAGCAGGATAAATCACCATTCCAACATGCTATTTACATTGCTCCTAAATACTGAAGTGTGGGGAATCTGAATTATTTTGCAATTTGCTGCAACCCAATAAGTTGGGTTTTTACCCAAGTTCTCAGTGCAGATGAAGTGGCTCCAGGTTACACAGAGCTCAAGGCTTTCCCAGGTGAAAAACCTGTGGCCAAAAAAATTCTCTGTTGCACAAGATTAAAATCTTGTACTTTCCTGCCCTCTTGTATCCAAGAGTCAGGAAAAAGTGACAGTATCACACCGAAGACAAAGAGTTTTAGGAGCTGTTGGAAGTGAACAGAGAGTAAGAGCTGAACTCAGAACCACATGAACTGGGTGGTGCAGAGAGGAACAGGGAGTGCAAGTGCTTTTGTGAGTCTCAAAAGTATAGTCCTTTCACTGTTGTAGCATCAACCTTGACTTTGCTCTTCTGGATCTCATAAAAAAAAATTACCATTACCTACCACAAGAATTGATTAAGTCTAAGCATTGAAATCCAAACCATGATGGAAACTCCAACGACTTTGGGGCAGAACACATCTGACAGCCCCACTGCAATGAGATCCACCCCAGGAGCCCAGAGCCAACAACGGCCAAGGAAGGTGGACAATAAAATAAGCCAGGCTGTAAGAATGAAGGCTGAAGTGCTCAAAACCTGAGATACCTCTAAGGTAGAATCATGGGACCCCCCTGAACTCTTCCAGCAAAGGGAGCAGCAAGTGGTGCCCAGAGATGGTGATTTCAAGAGGAAGCCACTGATCTACCCCAGAATATGAGACTGAGAACACAAAGGAGCAAAGAACTCACATCCCCTGACCGTGTGCTGTCAACACTTCCTCCCCAAGTCATTTACCAAACCTACTTCTCTCCAACTGGCTTTAAAACTCCAGCACTAATTTTGGGGATGATGAGGCAACAATCCTTCTTGCAGAACTACAAAATTCCCCAATGGAATTCTCTGATGGTGCCATAACAGAGTAAGTCAGGTCCACAGATCAGATAATAATATAAACACAAATGTGAAACATTACCAATAAGGATTTTACTAACTCAATTCTGCTCCAAAATCAAATTCTTTCACCATTTTAAGGATTACAAAGCATCTTCAGAACCTCAGTGCAATGCTCCATCACTCCCAAATTATGGTCACGGCCATCTGAAATTCCTACAGTAGCAAATGAATACCTGCTAGTACAAAATATGATACAGTTCTAGACCATAAATGGCTAATTTAATGTAACTATCCCAGAATTAATGCAATGCTCTAGCATTTCCTGACCACAGCCTTTACACTCAGTTAATCCTTCTTTTTTAATGTAAATGGATATGAAAAATTATCTTAAATTATATCAACCTGAGATTACAGGAAGAATATGCCAGACTTTTCTTCCTTTTTTTTCTTCCTTATTTTCAGTTAAATAGTTAGATGCACAACCAAATTACATATTGTGCTACATGAAAACATTCAATACATAGTAAGACTATAATTTAAATTTAAATTCCTGCAAGGAAACCAATATCACTAACATAATCGTTTTCCCAATAGTTAGCAGGACTAGAAAAATTCCCAAAGTCATGGGATGGCACCTTCTGTGGATCCCTTAGCCTTCCCCTAAAACCAGAGAGGAGGATGACACAGTGGCAACAACCACACTGAAGCTGTACCAACCCTACTGAAGTCTGATCTTCTAAACCCTCACTGCAGACAAAGGATGGAGTTGCATCAACCATACAACCACAAATGTATTTGGTATATCCACTTTGGGGTCTTGCAGGAATGCAGTGACAGCAGGAAGATCCCTTCCTGCTAAAGCTGGAAGAATCCCCCATGGATAAGGCCCAAGATTCCCCCCAGGAGGGTGGGTTTGCTGCCAGGTTGCAGCAGTGCAGGAGATGCAGTTTCACAGCCACATATGCAGGGAAACCTTGTTATTGGAAAGAGTAAAAAAATGCAGAGCAGTGATTAACTGTGGTTCTTCACAGCTTCCTCCTGTAGTACACCATGTTACACACCCACACAATCCCAGATGGATCCAATTGTGGGCTTCCAGCAGAGAAATCAGGCACAAAGCCACAATTCCATACATAATCCAAACTTATCCATTCCTCTCTCGCCTCTAACCAGTAACATCTCAAGCTTTTCCTCTCAATTCCCCTTCTCCTCTGGGTATTTAAGACAGTGAAAACACTTGATTAGCATCAGCCAATAAAATATTCACTTTACAACCTTCCATTAATATTTGCATTGATTTTTTTAATTACAGCATGTTATCCTGGCCCGGGAAGGAGCACGTTCCCACCAGATCCCAAAATGAAGTATATTTCACAAAACCTACACTGAGACTGCCAAAGCAGTGTCTCAATGGTAATTTTTTTAAAAATATGTCTGTATCTAAAGTGGTTTTGCTTTTCTGAACAATAACAGTTCTCTTTCTAATGAGCTTGAGCTGATTTCAACCTATTTCACTCTTTATGCCAAAGCTCTTGCTTAGGACAGGGCTCAGCTGAGACAAGCAATGAATCTGAAAGCAGAAGAAGGGGAAGGGATATCTGACCTCTCTGTCCACAGACAGGAACACCACTGTAAATTACTCCTGCATATGGCTTTTTAAAAATCAAAGACAATGGCTGGCAGTTTGGGATGACCTAAGAACACACAACAGCAACACTCAACCCAAAAGCTGGCAGAAGTTCCCGGCAAACACACTGATCTATTCTTAGCTTACCCTTCCTATAAAAATATCATAACCATTAATATTTTAATTTTTGAGAAAGTTTAAGAAAACACCCTAAATGGAGAGACCTTCAGCAAAGCATTTTAAGGAGGAGGGATAAAAACCATTGCTTCAGGACACACGGGTGTCGTTCGTGTACCCAAGGGTGCAAGGAAGCTCCCAGTTCCTACACTGGCTTCCAGGCATTGCTGCCCTAATTAAAACATATATAACACGAACAACATTTCTGCAAAATGCCACTTGCTAATTAAATACAGGCTCTTGTTTATGAATACATTTTGTTATACCCTAAACAGTGTGGTCCTGCAAATGTTAAGCATCTCCCCAGTTTACACATGTGATTATTCCCAGTATGTTCAGGTGATGCATTTTCACATAAAGCCTAATTGCATGGTCAGCCCTTAATCTCTCCTTTAAAGGAGTAGATTTCTTCTAAATAATATTATTATTTAGAGTATATAATATTATTTCCTCTAAATCATATTATTATTTCTGCTAAATAATATTTAGGTCTTGTTTACATGTTCTAAAGGAAAACACAACACCGTGCTTTGTCGGTGTTTTGGATATTCACAAGCTGCGTAAGATTTTGATTAAACCAAAAGGACCGGGCTCAGATACAGAGCAATGGAACAATAAATAAACCAATGTAACAATAAACTTATACGCAGTCGAAAAACACAAACCAGATGTTTTGTAATCATCTTATTTCTTAAATAATATTTAACTTGAAAAAGGGAATGGTCTTCCTCTTATGACACTTCATGTTTTGGGTATTTTCCCCCTCATTTTTAATGCAGCAACCAACAGAAACGCAGTGAGAAAACCTTAAGCAGAAAACCCAATTAATAAAATCCGGTGCAGGTTAACACAGACCCTTCGCAGAAAGGCTATGAAAAACCAACACATCCATTTAAAAATCCTTTATTGTGTCCACCTACAACGCACCCAGGAGAACTTATACTCTAAAACCATTTAAAACGACACAGACAAAACCAGCGAGCGAGATTTTGTCTCGCTGCCGAAAACGCGTTAAACGCTCGTAATAAAAAAATAATAAATAAAACAAAGCAGGAAAAAAAAAATGTACATCCGCGGCAGTAACAAAACTTCCCCTGGTAAATAAACCCACGGTGACGGACGCGGCTGTTCGAGGGCCGGGGCTGCCGGTCCCCGACGGCACGAGCGGATCCCGGCGCATCCCTCCCTCCTTCCCTCCCTCCCTCCTCCCGCGCGTGCCCGGCGCGGGCGCGCCCGCGGTGTCGCGGGGCGGGGGAGGCGGCGGAGCGAGCGCGGGGACAAAGGAGCGGGAGTCCCGCGGCCGCGCGGGCCGAGGCGCGGGGATGGCGCCGGGATAGCCCCGTCCCGGCGGGAATAGCCTCGTCCCGGCGGGATCGCCCCGTGCCCCGGCGCGGAGCCGCGGCCTCCCCGCCCCGCGGGCCCGGCCCGGCCCGGCCCGG